ATCGTATCGATGACGAAGTTGAAGAGGAAAGGTGAAAGAGGACAACCCTGTCGGACACCACTTGATGTGGTGAACTCAGGAGAAAGCTTCCCGTAGACCTTTACACGGCCGCGGGAGTTGGCGTACAGCGCCTTAAGGAGGGTCAAGAATTTATGGGGGACACGTTTACTTCACAGACACTGTCATATTGCTTGGCGGTCCACAGATTCAAAGGCCGCTTTTAGATCAAGAAAAACAACCATTGTTGGTTGCTGGAAGCAGTGTCACTGTTCCAGAATCTGTCGGAGGGTGAAAATATGATCGATGCAACATCTTACAGGACGGAACCCAGCTTGATTTTCAGTCAAGCTTGGTTCAGCCAACCTTCGAAGGATAAGGCCAGAGAGCACCTTCGATGCCACAGCTAACAGGCTGATGCCACGGTGGTTTTTACACAGCGTCCGCCTACCCTTTTTGAAGACGGGGATAACTGTCGACTTGCCCCATTCTGCAGGCACTTTCTCTTCGTCCCACATAGTACCAATAAGCTTTGTCACGTGGGTCACCTGGGATTTCCCGCCTTCTTTGAAGAGGGCTGCTTAACCCGTCTTCATGACTGCTCAGGTATCGGAATAATCCTACACCTGTTGAAGCTGATTGATCTAATAATAACTTCACACACGTAGGTGATAACCGATGCTAATAGCCAACCAACAGTCGCAGTTGCATCTGTCGATGGTGTTCCGAACAATACATCGATCCATCCAAATGAGGACCCTCCACAGAAACGGTTCTATTGATGGGCAATCTCTCCAGGAAACACCCTTTATCGGCAAATAGCAATGTAACTACTTCAGTATCGGTGATATATGGGGAGCATTATTTGAGCCTTTCCAGATGATGTCGATATTTCCGAAGCTTTGACTCAGTTTAATGGGAACTATAAAGACTAGTTAATATTTGTTGATGTTAAACTCCAAGGTAGTGATGAAAACGGGTTGGCCTTAAAGAAATTACACTTGAAGTCATCTGCACATCAACTTAGGGAGTTTTGTTGCCTGGGAACAAAAACAAAATTACCGATGTATAGGACCAACGTGCCATTGGTCTTTGTGCTACAACTCGTTCAGAACTTCTTTATTGATATTGATTGGTTGGTTTTATTTGCACAGAAAACCATGAAAACGGTGGGGCTTAAGACGAAAAGGATATCAATCACTTGACAAGAAACACATGCATTAGCTTGGCACTTGAAGGTGACTTGTGGAGATAACGTCATAGAGATTCGAAAAATCTGTTTGGCCCTTCCATTGTATGGTAGGATTTTTTTCTGGCTTCCACTCAAGTTCCATTTTTAGACCAGCGATCAAAGGTAGATTACCATGTTTCACCTTCCGCTAATGTGCATACTTTTTCGAATGTTTTTGTCGCACATTGGACGTGGGACATACGCTTGTCCGGGATAATAGTTGAACATCAAGCTTGCAGGTCGAATTCCAGTGCAATCCTGAATCTGAGCAGAACACTACTCTATGTAACACATCTACAGCCGTACATCGCATAATTTTCAATCGATCAAGTGACAAGAAAGATCGGTGACTGTGTGGGCTCTCCGTCCTAATATAAATATCTTCCGTTTTGATCTTGTAGACCAAAACTGACAATACTGGTCACTTTTCGTTCGACCGTTTGCCTGGTGGAAAGTACGCCATATTTCCGCATTATTCAATGTCCACAAACAAACCGTCCGTATCTGTTTCGTTCTCACCGATGATTGTTTCGGTGGCAGTGGAACATGCGGACTTGGATCTGGGTCAGTCAACCTTTCACGCAGAGGCGTTCGAACTGCCGGCTGGCAGGGTTGTTTGGCCAGATGATACGCCGCTTCCAGGTGCAAAGGTAAGTGATGTAGGTAATAAATTGGATCCTTCTCGGTACTTAGGGTAAGTATTAGCTTTTTCGTTGCTTAGAGTTTCCCATATACACTTTCTTTTACGTCTTTCTTGTCCCCGACTCATGGAGTTGAGCCAAGCGTTACAACCGAAGTATCAGCCTTTAGGATGAAATTGCCATACTTTTGTATAGTAGCTCATATTTCGTTTTCACTTTGCATTTAACTCTCACTGGAAACACCGAGCAGAGGTTTGTGTGCGACAGTAGCCACATATTGGCAGTAAATAGGGACGAGATAGCCCAAGTGGTTAGAGCACGAATCTACTGACCGGAAGGTCCGTGGTTCGAACCGGACCTCTGCCTCTCGATTTCCCCTGTCTAGACTTGGGTAACCTGGCAGTATCCCAGCCCCCGTGCAAATTTCGAGTGGCATGGCAGTTAGGCACCGAAAGGGTGCTACAGCTGAACGATTACGATTGGCAGTAATCCAGTATGGAGGCCCAGTAATACGAATACCTGTCTGGTCCGATATTTGTGCTTCAGCCCAATTGCTCTCCACAGTCTCTTTCTCCTCAGGGCATGGCAGTAGGCACCGAAAGGGTGCTACAGCTGAACGATTACGATTGGCAGTAATCCAGTATGGAGGCCCAGTAATACGAATACCTGTCTGGTCCGATATTTGTGCTTCAGCCCAATTGCTCTCCACAGTCTCTTTCTCCTCAGGTTGACCCCAGTTGTCCATGGCCTAGGAATTTTCGTCGATGCTGGAAACGTAACCCCAAACTGATATCCTCATTCTTGTCGAACCACCACTAGGAGTTTCAATGTAATTCCAGTGAATTCCTACATGGTACTTTCAGCTCTTGATGCAAATTCGTGATTTTCCGCACAACTTATTATGGGCTGCCTGGTTTTCTCACTTGATTTCTCTCATTCATTGGATACCAGCCACATAGCGTTTTTTGTACCTCTTAGCTTAGCGGTTCTACCTCGCGTGACCCAGCATCCGTATTTCAGTAGTATCGGTATACATCTTTCGTCATGGACAACTTGGTGTGGTTCTACTCATCACCGTTCGCACTTGAGATTGTGATAAAAGTATCCTTAGGATCCATGATATCCCATCTGCATCGAGCTCATCCTCATTGAGAGTCCTTGCAGCATTCCTCTGTTAGTGTTTTCAACGAAATGGTCGTGGAACCGTACTTCACACGTCTCAAATTTGGTGAACAACCGGTGGCTTTATTGTTCACCAAACCTCTCTGAAACGATGACTTCCCAATCGGTCCTAAACATTTTCCAATTGATTGCGCTAACTGTTGTTCTCACTTCACGCGGTGCAAAACATACGCACAAGTCGTCCAAAATTCTGCGTAATTGCTTCCGCAGCACACAATGAAATGTAGATACAGGACAAAGTCACATCTGGCGGTACCTTACATTGAGGGTTCTTTCGAGTATTCCGTAGATTCGGCGTGCTCAGCCTCACGGGAAAACCAATGGTATCGTATGATGTCTGCTTGCTTATCCCGACTTTGCAGTTGTGTAGACCTGCAGCTTCTTAGCGTCTCACCTACCGTTGTTCATAAAAAAAACATGCAAGTGCATTTCGATGTTATTATGATACTTTGAAATTCCAATTCCAGTTTGCAGCGAAGTGGATCACTACTGGAAAGCCGGGAAGCTGTTTGCAGCTATTTAATCCTTGTTGGGAATCGTTGGCAGTGCGCACCTGACCAACGCGTACGGCGATTCGAACCCGTGACATCCCGGCAACTAGTTGAAGATCACACCGTTGAACCACGACTGACTGATCAGCAGTGCGATTAAATCACACTTAGACTGGATATAACGCCACTTATCCCTCATTCACGGAATCCACATCGTATTTTCCTCTGGTATCAGGTGAAATGCTCATGCACACTGTGAGGTGCTTTCCTTTCTGAACAGGCTACTTATGGTTCGATGATGCTGTGTATGTTCCGCCTACATGCGAGTTAGTCGCACTGTGGTCTAAGACGTGTAACCGAACGGTATGGTCTTAATCTGTTAGCGTATCTCCCTAGAGTTTCTTCAGATGCACACTGTTGGAGATTCGCAACCATGGTTGTACTTCTCGGCTTTCAGGCGTAGGTTGGCTTCACTCATAGAATCAAATCTCTCGTTGTTGAATTTCAACGGAAGGATGACCGTCTGGCAATCGATCCGGTGCTTGATACCACCTTTATGAAACATCATGGAAACTCCAGTTCATGTTGAGATGTGATTATCAGTGCTGTGTCCGATATACTAGATGCAGATATTTCCTTCTTGACTGAGTCGCCTGCTGGAATAGTTGAATCGTTGCTATGGTGATGTTGAGTCCAACATGGTACGTCAAACTATAGAGACATGTTTGCTGGACGCCTCTGGCGAGCCAGGAAGATGGTATATTGTGCTTTACAGGTCACCGTGGTTGGTCGGTTTAGTGGTTAGTGTGGAGCCTAGTGTCCCGTAAATTACACATTCTTGTTCTTCTTTTGCTTAGCAGTGCTCTCCAAAGTTCATTTAAGCAGTTCCTTGGCTCTACTGGTGTGTAATGAGTGCCTGTCAACATTGATCAGAAACGGCCATTTAAAGGATACAGAGGATACAGCCCCTCACTGTAGTTTGTCAGGATCATTCTGCGTCAACCTGGGCACCTTTGCCTTTTGAATCTGGATAAACCCGACCTTCGCATTGTCTTTTCTATGTATGTCTTTCTATTACTGTACTTGCCGAACTGAGGGAAGGCTGAATGTGAGGATTTCCGATCAGTTCCGCAAAAGCTTTACATTTTATGAAATGCCAAGAAGTTCATTTACATGTTGTCTAATGGATTATACTCAGTGTACGGAACACAAGAAGGTCAATTGACATGACACTAATTATGCACAGTGATTTGCTGCATCTGCAGTCGCTAGACGGACTCAACCGAGTTTCTGACTAGTCTAGCCCTCCTTGTCTTGGAGAGATTGGTCATTCTCACACAGAATTTCAATTTGTTGTTCTGTACACAACCAGGTGCAATCCACAAGGCCATTTGAAGTTTAGGACTTCAGGTAGGCACTTTCCGCCGCGCACTGATAATGAAAACATTAGCGCCTAGCTGAAAAATCCCTGCTTTCGGTCCACTTTTGCTTTGTCGGTGTCTCAGCCTAGATCACCTGTCGGTGTCAGTTGTTTTGTGTTCTATCCAACCACATGGTTACTTTGTGCGTGAAGTACCGTTTGATTCGGTTCTTATCTTCTTCGTCCTCCTGCTTCCGTGAATCCTAGATATCCCATTACGCAGTCCCAATTCTTCGAATTGCTGTGGCATCCGAAAACAGTCAGATTGGTGGGAGGTATTGAGCACAACCAAACTACACAGGAGAATTTAGTGTTTTGCGCATTTTTTTATAGGTTAAAAGATGAAGTTGAACATGCATTGGGTCAAGTTTACGCATTTCTAGAATAATTGATACGTCTAGTTGTGATCTCACAAGCAGTACCTACTTTTAAAAGTTATTCATCATTGTCTTTCTTTTCCGTAGGTCTATTTCGGCGACCGAGCAGAACCGCTTCTGAGCGATTCGAACGGGTTTTACCAGCCCGGATTTATCAAACCCCGCCAGTATACAATCAGAGTGAGCGTTCTCTTCCCTAAAAAAGACTTTTTCAGGGCTGATACATTTGTGAAACTAAAATATCCTGTTCCCGGTTTGAGTTCCGTTGGTCAAACCTGTGAAGCCTCCCTTAATTTGATGGTTTGTGTCTTTTTGAACTCTTGATTCTCTGATCTATTGCTGTGAAAACCCTTAGGATATGTGCGCACCTGCCGTGCCTTGGTCTACTCGAGTTTAGCTTCAGCATTAATTCTGGCGGAAAAGTGACCTTTGTCATATCTCAGATTTATTGGCCTGACCGATAAAACTGCCGACCACCGTTTCGACGACTTGTGTTTGAGTTCCGCACGGGCACTCCCAGCTGGAAAGCCAGTCCCTAACTTTTCAATCTATTCATATGTTGTTTCAGAAATGATAACGTGGAAAGGGGAAAAGACAAAATTAAAAGAACGTGATTTTACACGGTACTAGTATAGATTGTTGGTTTTTTTTGTCGTGGCTGGTTCCCAATAGTTCCACTACATTTACAGAAGTTGTAGTTCACTCTCTTGTGACAGACTTGCTTATCGGTTTGTAATGTGTGCGTGCGTACGTGTAATGCGCAATGATAATGGTGACGAAACGTTTGCCAAGCTCGGCGAACTGATCAGCAGCCACCTGATCAACAACCAATTGCTTATCGGTCATTAACACCTCGAATTCGTTACAAGCAATCTATGGTCTGTTTGGCCTTATCCGTACAAGACTAGTGTCTTCCCAAGTATGACGCCTTTACTGCGGAAGATACGAGTGTAATTATCGAGTGGCTGGTAGCCAGCTGCAAAGCGTGCAATAGGTGACCGGATTTCAGGTCGTTCAGATGTTGAACGCTGATCAGGATAGTCTGTTTGGTCATCCAGTCTCGATAAAAGAAAACAACGTCTAACTGCTGTGTCCATTTTACACACAAAAATACTTCCATACCATATTGTACCTTACTCCGATGTTCCAAAATGCCTCTTGTTGGGACGTTCAAATTAGTCTGACTTTCAGTTTATACTGTCGATAATAATGATATATTTTAATCGAGTCCTCCACCCTAACATCAATCAGCACAACGCCCACTGTCCAAACCCACTCAGTCCAATTATGGACTGGAAATCGTTTCTGCGGGGCAATGTTATCCACTGTGAATTCGCATTTTGCTCATCATTATTCGGTTTGCAGGTCATTCATCTGGTTAGGCGGTTGTTGACTATATTGTGATCTAGTATTGTGACTTGCTTTATGAAGGGGCTTTGGCTTTTTCTGTCAAGGGTCATAGCATGTTCCCAGGGGTGCTAGTTCGCTGACGCGCTATTCGCTCGATTACTTGTCACTTGTTTTCAGATTACCACCCAAATTTCGGTTGTTTTTGTCATTTGACTGTTCCTTCTAAGTTGACACGCTTTTGGGTGTCTGTTGTAGTATATGGTTTCTTCCTCTCTCCAGGTAGAGGCGAACAATGTGCTGTTCTCCACCCATGTTGTTGAGCTGACCCCCGGCTCACAGCGCTTGCCAACACTTCAGCCCAGTCATTTAGCGCTCTGTGGTCGTGTTGAGGCGGTAGAAAAGCTGGGTTCCGGAGCCCTTGATGTAAGCTAAACTAAGTCACATGTTTGATACAACATAGACGGTCTTCTCTCATTTGCTTTTATCTCGTGGAATGAACTCGTGTGCTAATCCCTTTGTTCTTTTCCTGGACACCCCTAGCAACTGACACTGGCTTAGCGAATCGAGTTATCGTGTGCTAATGGGACGCGCCAGAGGGGTGTATTACATGAGTGATGCTGACTGTGGAGGTGATCATAAGGCTGTCTGTAAAAAGTCAACTACTCGGTTTTTTTTCGGAGCATAGTACGTCAGTTTAACCATTGAGCTGGAAGAATCAGATTTGTGAAAATCAAGATTGGTTTAACTCTAACCTGGGTTGCATCGACCATATCGTCACCTTGCGGCAAGTGTTGGGACTGCACCACTCCTTCCAGCGCCCAGCACTCTCCGTTCTTCTCGATTCCAGACCTTCTTCTGGCTCCGTTGATCGTCAGAAACTGGCAGTCTGGTGACGAAGAGTGTTTCTTCCAAATTCTTGTCCCCTATAAAGACTTTATGTACCTTCTCTCGTGGACGCATCCGTGTCTACGATAGACTCCTGAGTTCAGTAATCCACTAGTTTCACACAAGGATATCCTCTCTCGCCATTTCTCTTCAATTTCTAATTGATATTCTGCTTTAACATTACCTTCCTCTAACATCTTGTGGATCGAAATGTTCCCGAAGCGTTCGCTCATGGGCATCGAGTACGTCGTCCATATTGCTCTTCTTGGATCGGATAATTCAAAAATGCAAACTGCTGTAAATAACCTCAACAAATCTGCTGCGCAGTTCAGGATGCGCTCTCCACCTTTAAGATGTGAGGTTCTGTTGCAATAATGAATGATATCGAATCCGAACCTCATACTTTCAGGTGTAGATAAGTTCGTCTACCTGGGAAGCTTTGTAAGTCCCGGTGGTTTGGCGAAAAACGAAGCCACTTCCTGAATGGCGAAGGCCAGGGCAGCGTTTGCTAACCTCCGACATTTGCGGAGCCAACCTAGCGTGAGAGTCAATAGGCAATTGTGCCATGTGCTTCGTATGTCAGAGGACCGTTTGCCTCATAGAGCTCTCTTCACCCAGCCCAGTGCAGGATGGGGACGACCTAGGGGTGATCCGCCCATGATCCGGCAACGAAGCATGAAAAACTTTACAAGCCAACTCAGTCACTTTGGTAATTGTCGTCTCCAAGGATGGGGACTGTGGGGCCAGAGAAACCAATGAGTAGTGACGATGACATATATGGGTGTCACTCAGCCATTGGTGCTCTTAAGTCTTATCAATTTCTTTCAATGCTTAGCTCTCCATCCTCGCCATACTGGTCAAACAGACTCATTCGACTCCAGTGAACTGAGTAGGCTGCCGTCTCCAACACATGGCTCTCATTCCGTTATTCTCATCATCTGAATATAACAATATAAGTAAATTGTCCAGCTGTAGCTCCCCTTTGGTGCCTAGTTGCCATGCCACACGAAGGAGGCACGAGGGCTGGGATACTGCCAAGTTGCGCAAGCCCAGACAGGGGAAGTCGAGAGGCACAGGCCGGGTTCGAACCGCGGGCCTTCCGGTCAGTAAGTTCGCGCTCTAACCACTTGGGCCATCATCTGAACGGAACTGTAACTGCTGAAATCACTGTGCTTTGGTAGGGGGTTTGTGGATGAAAGACCGGCTGACCAACAAGAAAAAAACAGAGGCCCTTCCATCTCCTTTCCTACCCCGAGGCAGAATAGTGAAGTTTGGAGGATACGCAAAAGTGTCTGCTCACCAATTTATTTGAATAAAATTGCGGATAGAAGTAGTTGTTTTACAGTTGATAGTGATGTGAGTGGATTCGGTAAATTTCATTCCGTCAGTGAAGCCAACCTATACTGAAAATTCGGGGAGCACCGTTTAGCTGTTTCATCCTTTTGGACTCATCAGCAGTGCGCTTCTTCGGAAGCCACTCACGCACCTTTCATTAAGTTGAGTCAAGCACTCGAAGACTGCCGGACCAAGCTGCTAGGAACGTCAGTGTTAATATCAGTGAAAAACATTCAAGAGCACCCACTGGCCAACGGTGTACAGGTTCCAGAATCAGAACTTGGATGATCACTCATCCTTTCTTCAAGAGCTCAGATAAGCAAGCAGTTGGTCGTGAAGTACAATAACGGATGAAAGATGCGTTTTCGGCACTTTTCAGTTTTTGGTAACCCGACGCTGCGGGCTACATCACACCATGTGTCACGAGACGTCTGGTAAAGTGCGTGTGGAATTCGGAGGCGTTCTAATTGTGTTCCTCTGTATCGAGATAGCAATTGTGGGTTCATCCGGCTGCCGGTAAACGGCTGGTATTTATTTGTTCCCTGCTGTCTCATGGATTTTCCGTTGAAGATCGGGACTACAACCCGATCAATCCAATTGAACAAAATTCAGTGGTCGATAAGTCGGTAGATGTGAATTATTCGGGTGTCTTGTCGAAACACCTCGACGCTGTGATTTCCCATCACCGGAGTCCGAGTCAGTATGCCAGTGTGCTTGATCCACAAGCTGATAAAGTTCTTCTCCCTATTTTCTCTTGGCTGAGAACTGTGTGGTCTTGGGCGAATTCTGCACCGAACAATGACTATTCGGACACGAAGCATAACTTTATTGTGTTTGAAGCGTTCTCATTTAGGTTGGATTCAACACGGTTTGAAGTAATACGAAGGTATAAATAAATGTTTGCTGCCAGAGGAACTGAATTGATCTGGTGGGCAGCGTCCTCTGCCGCTATCCAATGTCCGCAGGTTCAACTGCCGACCCATCTGTTCTGTCATGGAGTTTGCACTCCGAATAGTCAGAGTAGACACAAAGTTAAACGAAAGACTTACAAGAGATGAACATCTCGGCATCCGCACTTGAATATTGATTAGAGTCAACGTTGGGCTGAGGCAATAGAACGGGAGAGGGCGGTCAACATGGAAACAAAACGGCACTACTGACAAAACTCGCGAGTAGTAAAAACAGGATGAATCAACATCAGATCTAATCTCCATGTCTATCTTGTGGTGTATTCCAAAATGTCGAATAAACAGGGTTGTGAATGTTCATGATTGAGAACACCGTTAGGTGGCTAGTTTAAAGTGGATGTGGAGAGTTAAAACACGTAGTTACAGCACGACAAAACGTCTCACAGGGCTTCGAGCTGAAATTGCTGGAATAAAATCTCTACGGAAGTGACGATTCCACGGGTTGATTACGGTTTTTTGTGCTTGTAAATCATTTCCTCACAGGCATACTACTGTGAATTCTTGGTTTTGGTCTCGGATAGTATCTGCTTAATGAATATTCCTTACTTCTATCCATCAATATCCCAGCATTGATGACATAGATGAGTAGTCTTGCGGATAAAGCAATGAAGAAGGCAGCTAGCTTAGATCGACGTGATACATGATTGAAAATTCTTCGACAACCCACGACCGAGTTGCCGTCATCATATGCTCTGCTTGAACCCAAATTGCCTGAAATTAGTGAAATACACTCATTTACAAACAAATTTGGTTTTCCGGTAGACTTACCTGGAACCCAGCTGAATCTCTCGTTTATGAATGATGTTTTCAAGCTTGAAAACACCTAAGTGTATTTTGCTAGCCTGCTTCGAGTTTTGAGTCGAAAATCTTTCAGTAGATCATATCACCATGTGGCATGGACCTGCGCATTACATTGCTAATTTTGCCCATTCAAGTCTGTTGGCTCTAACTCCCTTCCCCATAGACAACCTCCATCGTTGTAGCAGACAAACATACAGGAACTAGACAAGACGCGGTGGCTTTCGACCATCAAACAATGCGTTTCTGTGGCTATTACGTCCCTGGTCACTACGAACTAACTGCAGATATCCGTCTTGGGGACCGACGACTACACTTTGCTCCGGATTCACATTCCGTATGTTTCCTATTGCTATACACCTTATTATCCTGTTCGAGGTTTTTTATTGTTTGATGGAATTGAAAGTTAGTTCTTCTGCGTCATAAGGTAGGCCTTCACCCATAATCTTTTGACTAGTTTCCGTTTTAATGTTCATTCGAATTTAACGATCCAATAGGTCAAAACAACTCAGGGTTTGAAACGCCGTGCGTCTATGCTTCCAGTTCATCCGTTTTTTGGATAACTCCTCTATAAATATGGGGAACCTGACAATATATCAGTCTTGTTCCTTCCTTAGAGTTGTTTGACAGCTATATGTCAACAACTGGATGTCTTCGTTTGAGAGGTGTGTTGTGCTTGCCAATTTACTAGAAGCTGTTTGGATCGAAATACGAAGCCTTTTTGTCTTAGATCCATCTAACAATGACTTATCATCGTATAAGGTGAAAAACGGGAAGTAGTTGCAAATGCTCTTGAATCAGTGGGTCCAAAATTTCCGACAGTTCTTTGTTGATAAAAATCTTGTTTGAGTGAATACGCGCCAGAGGGTTACTGGATGCCTTTTCTCTGTTTGTTTTTCGAGGTGGTGCGGACACCAAAAGGGTGGCGAATAGAGTTCGTCCTCGGTTTTCTCTTTTCAGGTTCGGTTTCATCGGCATTAGTTGGGCCTTGATTAATCCCTCGGGTTGAGTCGCAGTTAGTAACGTGAACACCACGGCCACCATTCACATCATATCGGTAGTGGTGAGATTTAGGGAAGCCGATTCTCAATTCGTCTTGTTGAAATTTGTCCGACTCTAGCCTCCCTCTATACCCCCACAGGTTCATCTTTCTAACCGACCGATTTTGGATTTGGTATTCACTCAGTTCCGCGCCAATGTAACTGGTCGGGTTCATTTGCTCGCAATTACAGCGGACAGTTCCTCCAAACTGGGACAGCTTGTCGCACGTTTCAGGACTGCTGGCCAGAATGAGGTGCGCTACAGCCCACTTATGGACACTCAGGTAGGCGGATATTGTTTTCACTGACGACAGTAGGTTTTCCCCCTACTGAATCATGTCACTTACAGTTTACGGTCTATGTTGGACTCATATCCCACCGTCCTGCAAGTTACGAATACGTGGACCATACTTATACGAGTGTTAGGATTACGCTTATTTGGTGTTCATTCAGTTATCTTCGACACTCATGAGAGCACATCAAATGCCTAGCACCAGTATGGTTTGTTATCGTGTTATTCCTTTCCATGTTTTCACCTGTACGCCGGTGATATGTTAGGTCACGGAGCTCAAGGTTATCCGAAAAGCGATACATAGCTTTTGACAAACGAGTTGTCCTACCTTCGTGTTGATTTGTCAAACAGAGAGGTGCATCAATTTTGCTTCTCACACACATGCAAAGCCTAATGTCAGAACACAAAGAGGGTGGGGGTGGGATTACACCAAACTGTTGCGTACGCTCAGAGACAACAAAAGGCCGGTTTCTCGTCATCTCAGTCCAGTTGTAATAATCGTCTGTCTTCAACGCGTTCGTTGCCTTCCTTGGTGCGCTGAAACATGATTTTTTGACTGATCTATGCTAAATCTGTATGAGCGACGCTATAGTTCACTGGTTTCTACTTTTTCGCCATTAGTATCTGCAGAGAAATAAATTATCAGGACAATGTTGAAATTATTCACAACCCCGTTCCTCAGTACTGTTTTAATCGAATCAGCTTCATACTATTTGTGTTCTAGGAGCTCCTACGGCAGTGAAGCATCGTTGTAGAACACTCATGTCATGCTGTCGATGATTATGATGATCTAGGAGCTCCCCGGAGTGTACAGAAAATCCGCAGCTTCTGCTTACTTTGTCCTACACCACAATCAATTGACACCTGTGACAAAGCAACACTCCTGAAGAAATTATCATTCATGTCTAACTTTCGATCGTGTTAAGATTCAGTAGCCGAGTAGTTTGACCACGGGCCACAGTATTCCTTGCAGGGTTTAGTGGCCCAAGGAGGTGGGTAATTGAAAGATGACCGTTTCGGGGGTTATGAGGGGCTGCATATCCGTCGTGGCTAGTGGAGGGTGGTGTCTTAAACTCTTCATGGATGTACTTTCTTGTTACAGAGATCAATGTATTTGCTTCATCTGAGCTAGCTTTCCGAGGTAGTCGTCCGATATTTATCGATCAGAAGCACAAGGTTTGTGTTGGCTCATTCTATCACAGTCCTCTACGGGGTTAGTATGAGATGTAGGGTTTTAGGGAGAAATGTACATCACAAGTCCTTAGTCTTAATTCCCATCATGTGATAAGTTTATTGGCTTTTGTTGAAGTGCAATATAAGTAGTGCTGTCTTTTATTCGGCGTTACATCGCCAGTCTACGTGTAACTCAGCGGGACCTCCAAAGCAGCTAACGGTACCAGCATTATGGCCAGCAGATTCGGAGTGTAGTGTCGTGCGTCTAGGTTGTTGGGGCTGATATGTACCATTGCTTTTGGTACTTTGTAACCGAAATGACCAATAGCCGTCAGTCACATCTTACCGCCTGACACTCACCTTCATCCTTTTGCTTTGATGGAAATCGCAGCGCGATTTAGGGCTTTCTTCGGGAGAATACCTAGTATCTGATCCCTAAGCTGCGTCTTAACGATGTACAAGTAATACCTTCAATAATTTTTTCCAGCCAATCATTACGAACCCTACCGAGGGATCCAGAGGATCAATGTATACACGGTCTTTGCAGCCGACGACCGAGTGTGCAGACTTTAATCTGCCGGCGCCTCATTCCAACGCAGGAACTAGCTTCAATAAAAGAGCACGAAGACAGAGGCTAAGCGTTGGTAATGTTGTTTGAGTACGTTTTACTCCGGATTCGGCGCACTCAACACCTGTCTCATCCATTTGTTCAACTAATACGTGATGGGGTTCAAGACCGTTTCCGTAATTAGACGAGCCTTCCGAATCGGATAAAGTGGAAGAGCGAATTCGCTAGTTCTTATGCAGTACTAGAATTCCGCGAGCTGGTTTCCCGTGCGTAACGAGAATATTCGAATATTTGGTTACCTATTTTGCAGATCATTATGTTGAGTTAAACGCCATTTTTAGCACTTACATGAACCTGTTTACTAAGGACCCAGTAGCTTCTACTGAAAAGCTTCTACAAGCTTAACATCAACCATGGGTTTCTTTCTCATCTCCAGTGACTCGATCTGGTTATCGTTCTTTCCGTGATTGATATCAATTCGGACTGCACTGACTCCTGACTCCTCATTCATTCGTAAATCCACCGTTTCTTGCTACCTTGATAACACTCGTCAGATGATGTACCATTCATCCTACCCAATATTCCTGTTTTTGTTTCCCACATTTTTTTCAAGAACAAACCTTCCACTATGCAGTTCGAGTTGACAAACATGTTACCGGGTGACTATCACGTGGACCTAGTGCTTAAAGACGAATTTGGACAAGTTCATCCGCTAGATGGCTGGTGTTGGAAGCCCGTGACCGAACTTCAGGACCCAAATGCCTCGCAATCGGGGGGAGCTCGTTTGCTACGAGTACGCTACACAAACCTAGATTGGAACAAGGATCCAGCCCTGCAGTTTGAACAGTCGGGCTATGCAGTTCGTGTACAAATTGACGCGCCTTTGGTGTTCAGCAGAATGCCAAATGTTTTGCTTCGAGCTACCGCATCTTTTGGTAACCACACGGAAACGTTGACTTGGAAATTGTCCGCTTACTCAGCTCAGGTATGTTGTTTTCGGCCTACCTCGATTAGTCGAAATAGTCATAGAGTCATTCGGTTGATACTTCATGAACACTCGTCTTGCGATAACCATACTGATGTTATACACTGTACCGAACCAATCAGACCAGCAAATCGCGAGCCATACTTTAATTGACATACGAACTGAGCCGTCTGAGTGAGTAAAAATCAGTCGGTTATGGGTCATACGAAAATACAATCAAGTGAAAAGTGACAGTCTATTCGTCAAGAAGAGACTGCACCTTACCGTAGTCATACGAAAATCAAGTGATAAGTGACAGTCTATTCGTCAAGAAGAGACTGCACCTTACCGTAGTGTGGCGGTTTGTGTACCTCGGAGAGGAGACGAGCTATACTGGGGGTGTCCGCGCGACACTCGCAGTCTCTCATACCAGGTTGGTCAATGGTTAGAGGTCTGACGAACACAGTCTCCTGGCCCTCCAGGTTGGGGGTTGGAACATGTGTGGCGACTTGTTCCGTAGAAAAGGTAATGCATTTGCATTTCCCCGCCAAACACCGCTGCCTTGCGGTTAGGCTTTTGAGCCAAAGGCTTTGGTTGAGGACCCTAATCGTCCTCCTGTCTAGGTGTGGGTGCCCTGGCAGTATCCCAGCCCTCGTACAACCATGACCTACACAACTAACAATACTCTCATGCCACA